TCTGTTCGTCAGAAATTAAAATAACGACGATGAACACCAACATAGTCAACCAATTAAATACGAAAGCAAGACAAGTGAATGAGAAATCTGCATTAAAGATACATTATAGGAGATTAGATGAAGAGCAGGCAGTTCTCACTATAATAGTTAAAAACTAGATGATGTAAAGGGGATTTGCTAAAAATTTCAGTCAAATTGATCCACTCTGATACAAGATATTAGTGTTAGAATTTTGGGCTTAGCCTCGATCATCGTTACTGAAGTCGGTACGATAAAAAAATATAGTCTCGATTATGATTTAATTATTAATGAAAATTGAGCAGCAAATAAGGTCTTAATCCAGTATATGTCGCAGGCTAGCGATGACATCGAAAGTTGAATATGGTCTGGATAAATTAATTAATGTCTGATTAATAATTTAGATAACATTTCAGTCCTAAAGAAAGACCTGAAATAGACAGATTTAGCTCTTGGGATATATGAACTCACTTTCTACAACTTTTTTAAAATTACAGCTAACGGTCAAGCCTTCTGTATCTGTGGCAGTAAATGAAAAGGAATACGTCCCCTTTTCCAGTCTTGTTCCTTTAGGACGTCCGGATATTTGCTTTACAGATACTTGACCTGAGTTATCCGTCGCTACCAAATCCTCCCATATGTACTTAATATAGTCTAGGTTTTTATCCGCATATATGATCGAGCTGTGCGGACAATTGAGAAATTGTGGCCTTTCTGTGTCTGTAATAGAACAACCGTATTGTATTATTATAACACTGTGGTAAAATGTTTTGATTCGTATTTCTTCCAGGAGGGTGTGATGGCCGAATGGTTAGCACATGAGCGCTGTATCATAAGGTCTTTCATTGAGTCAACTGGCGTGGTTTCGATTCCCCGGTTGTACGTGACAAGTAAGTTTTCACTGGGTCCTCCAGTTTCCTCCAACTACTAAAACCCTTACGTGTAATCAAATTATTGAAACAAAATTGAACCATGCGTTAGTCCCGAAGTTACCTAGTTTGTGTTAAGTGGGCGTTAAACCCCACCAGGTTGGACAGGCGACCCTACTCCTTGTCACGTACATCCGGGGAATCGAAACCACGGCAGTTGACTCAATGACAGACCTTATGATACAGCACGCACGTGCTAAACATTCGGCCATCCAGCGACGAGGTATTTCAGCCTGATGGCAATAGCTTGAAACATGGGCAATGAAAGTAAGTCTCAAAGAAGATACACAAAGTCAATCTGATTTACCTTTGCACCTATAATTTCCGACAGACCAATGTCCGTCAGGTCCACATATTGGCTGACCAGATCCATGTGGAATAAAGCCCGAATCACACTTCAAATCACAGACATCTTCATACCGTGGATTGAGTGGACAATCAAACCGTCCATGATTGATTGGTTCCGTAAGTTGGTTACACGATTTACCTAGATAATATATCAAGTAATAGTTCAGCCTTTCATCTTAAAATAATTGCCTAAATTAATTGTATTGACGTCGACTATATATGAAAGGCTTGGTCTTGGTGAACTCCGATCACAAAACTACAGAAATAATTAAATAAAAAAAATTAATGCCCTAAATAATCGCCATACCTGTTTTCAAGTTGTAGAACAATCATGCCGGTTGTACGGCGTACAAAAACAGAAGCAGGCCTCGCCCACATCCAGTTCACGCCTTGTCAACCACACTGTCCACATCCGGCTAGCAATATTTCAGCTGACTGATTGACGTTTTTTCACTATCAGTTTACTTAAAATATTATTGCTACACAATTATTATGTCTGATTAGGTACATATTACTATACTAATTAGACGAAATAAGTAGACCACGGTGTACTTTTGCTATAAAAATATGAGAAAAACTGCCTTAACCCAAACAATAACAAATCTACCAACACCAACAATTATTTTCTTATTTCCTGAAATGTTTTGTACAGCAGAGTGGAAACACCAAATACTTTCTAGTATTATAAAGTCTAGTATTATCGTTCTAAAATATATCCAAAGCAGCAATTAACACTGTTGTTCTCTCCATCAAACAAGTATGTTTTCACTTCAAAATATTCACCATCTTGTGAAGTACACTGAAAAAAAACTTATGTTGAAACAACACAAACTTGTGTTGTTTTCAACACAAGTTAGGTGTCTCTATTTAACAACACAAACTTGTGTTGAAACAACACAAACTTGTGTTAAATGTTGAAACAACACAAGACTTGTGTTAAAATTTACCAAACAACACAATACTTGTGTCGAAACTTGTGTTGAAATTTCTGAAACTTGTGTTGAAATTTCTGAAACTTGTGTGGTTTCATAAAAACTTGTGTATAACCACCAACAAAAACTTGTGTTTTATTTTCCCTCAATTTAGCAATCTTTCCCATGCAGCCCCCCACCCCTTTGCTCTGTTTAACCTGTAAAGTTTGATAAATGAGGTAACAATAATTTTATTTGTTAAATTATCATTTATTCATAAAATGATAGGAAAAAGTAAATTAACACCACCAAATCAAAACTAAATAGACATCATTTGAAATGTTAACAGAAAAACAGAGATATAATTCTAATACTAATAAAAATTTTGTTATACTTTGCCCCCCGCCCCCCTCCCCCCCCCCCCCCACATCACAAAATTCAAAATAGCTATTTAATTTTTTCTTTACCCGAAAACAAGAACTGAGAACAGAAAGATCCCTACCCCATACCCCAAAAATATATAATTCAAATATATCTAAATTTAATAACATCCAAACCAAGCCCTAATTAGATTAATTATGCACTAAATTGAAATACTTTCAGAAACTGAAAAGTGCTACAAAGTCATATTACAAGTGATTTGTGAGGCATCTAGAAATAACTAGCATACACAGAAAACTAACAAAAGAAAAATGCACTATTTTGCAGGAGTAATAAAATGATGTAGAACCTTTTCCTCAAACAAAATGAATATTTTGTACATAAAAGGAGCAAAGCATCAAGATTACAGGATTGAAAAATAAAAAAATATCAGAGAAAATCGCAAACATTAAATAATATGTACAAAATATATATAAATAATCACAAGTCAAAAGCATGGAGGAGCCACTGTGGTTCAGTGAGTGCATTGGCCGAGAAATTTCAACTGGATTTTCCGACATAGTTCCCACACGTCAGTAGTGTAGGACATGGCAAGGGATAATTGGGTATAAGCCAAGAATTGAAACTACCCCCACTGCGTTTACTTTAAAGAACCCTTGACAATTGAATTATCTGACTCAATGACAGACCCTTCTGATCCAATGTGCGTGTGTTATCCATTCGGCCCTCCTGGGTTCCCTTTAAACAACCCTTGACAGATGAAATATTTGATATAAGAGTAGGTTGTAGGCAGAATCACCGTAATAACACAGAAAAGTAGGATATTAAACCCTATTTCATTTCATAAGCAAGGGAAAGTCACCTTAATGTAGGTCAAGGTTTTTTGTAATTCTGGGTATATTTGATCTACATTTGGTTTCTAGACTATGCCTATTAAATACTTTATGATTTCCGACCAAATTCTAAGTGATTTATATGTCACTTTACATTCTATATTATACATAAATTTCTGTAGAGAATTAAAATCTAATTGTGTTTGGGATGAATATTTAACAATAAAAACAAAAAAAAATATTCAAAAATTGGGTCAAATGCATTCTTTTCCAGAATTATAAAATAAATTGATGCTTGGGATCTCTTGTTGTTATCATACATCAAATAATCTTCCAGCCTAAAAAATAAAAAGTAGGCAATAAGAATACTTTCTTACTATTTATGGTTCACAATGTTTAAATAAACAATTTATTTTGCCACATCGAGACTGAGTCTCTATTTTGTTTCATCTTTGGGTAACACTTATTGTGTCTTGTCCAGTAACAGACCCAGGTAGATTATTATATTTTATTTCCATCGACAACAAATTGGATATTACCTATTAAAATATATTTGAAAAGTAAAATATTGTCCATTTTTATACTGCTATTTACTGTAAAAATACACATAGGGTCTATCACAACTTGAAGAAAATCAATGGATGTGATTGTCAAAAATCAAGAATGCCAAGACTTGAATAGGAGAGTCCTAGGCATTGCCCCAAGAAGAATAACTAGATTACCAATCAAGTGTATAGAACTAGTTGATGATTAAAAATACAAATATGTATGTTACTTACATTTTACCTGATTATCAAGCTCTGTGAGAAAAAGTTTCCATAATATGAATAGCCATTTCCAACTGTCTTGATCTTTCTGATGTAGTTAACTGAGAAAAAAAACATACTATGTTTTAGTTGACTTAAATCGATTCAATATTTAAATAGACGAAACTTTTAATTTAATTCAATTGTATTGTAATGTGTTGGTTTACTTTCTCACAGATGAGACAAAATGAAAAAAATGAAATGAAATGGGGTTTGGCGTCCTACTGTTCAGCTTCGACTGGGCTAATGAGGTTGGGCATATGCCATACAGTGTGCCACGAGAGAAATTTTCCCGGGTACCGTGACCCTAAGGCCTACTCTTGTATCAAATTCTAACTGCCAGGGGCTCTTTTACATGCATGCCAATGTGTACACGGGACCACGTTTTTTTGTTCAATCTGAACGACTAGACAGCTGTCCTTGTAAGGCCCCCCGTACTGCATCGTCTTACTGCAAACCCGCGACCTTAAAATATGCAAACCAGTGCCTAACCCACTTGGTCACCATGGGTCCCCACAGATGAGATAGTCATATCTACATGTATCTGGACATAAGTAAGATTCTGTCTGTGCACATACATGTAAGTGTACAGTTTTACTATACTAAACTGAATTTTAAATTTCAAAATATTAAAATGAAATCGAGGTTTATGTCACTTCAGCTCCAACCGGGCTATATTGTGCCAAACACATTATGGTGAGATTCTAAAATACCACAACAACCATCTTTTCTATTAGAATTGAACACTCACCCTCCAAAAACACCTATGAGATATCATAGGTGCTCAAATCACCATTTCTTCAGCTCTTTCTTTTCCCATATTTGGGTTTTTTGACTTATTTTATTATATGATCTTTGATTTGCTATGGCATCTAATATGGAAACTGAAAAATATGTGACATGTAATTAACTGTTTAAGATACCTTACCATATACAAACTGTGTGATATCTAAAACCATTTTAATCCCGAAGATCTTACCTAAACCGTGAAAATCTGTTTTAATAACCCTTGTTTGTCATGTGACTGGAGAGTCACAGTAATTAAAAGAGAGCCGTGTGGCTTTGTGTGTAAGGCACTGGCTTGCTACCCGGGAGGTTGCGGGTTCGCTCCCAGTGTTGACCGAGAAAGCTCATTTGGATTTTTCAGCATGGATTCCCTGTCTAGTCGTCATGGTGGCTAAGTGGGTAAGACGCTGGCTCGCTAGCCTGGAGGTCGGGTGTTCGAACCCTGCATTGGTCTAGTCATTCAGATTGAACAAAAAAACGTGGTCCCGTGTACACATTGGTGTGCATGTAAAAGATCCCCTGGCAGTTAGAATTTGATACAAGAGAAGGCCTTAAGGTCACGGTACCCGGCAAAATTTCTCTCGTAGCACACTGTATGGCATATGCCCAACTTCATTAGCCCAGTCCTCCGTACTGCAATGTCTTACTGCAAACCCGCGACCTTAAAATATGCGAGCCAGTGTCTAACCCACTTGGCCACTGTGGTCCCCCACAGATGAGACAGTCATATCTACATGTATCTGGACATAAGTAAGATTCTGTTTGTGCACATACATGTACGTGTACAAATTTACTATACTAAACTGAATTTTAAATTTCAAAACAATAAAATGAAATGGAGGTTTATGTCACAACAGCTCCAACCGGGATATATTGTGCCAAACACATTATGGTGAGATTCTAAAATACCATAACAACAATCTTTTCTATTAGAATTGAACACTCACCCTCCAAAAACACCTATGAGAAATCATAGGTGCTCAAATCACCATTTCTTCAGCTCTTTCTTTTTCCATATTTGGGTTTTTTGACTTATTTTATTATATGATCTTTGATTTGCTATGGCATCTAATATGGAAACTGAAAAATATGAATATGTGACATGTAATAAACTGTTTAAGATACCTTACCATATACAAACTGTGTGATATCTAAAACCATTTGAATCCCGAAGATCTTACCCAAGCCTTGAAAATCTGTTTTAATAACCCTTGTTTGTCATGTGACTGGACTGTCACAGTAATTAGAAGAGAGTCATGTGGCTTAGTGTGTAAGGCACTGGCTTGGTACCCGGGAGGTTGCGGGTTCGCTCCCAGTGTTGACCGAGAAAGCTCATTTGAATTTTTCAGCATGGATTCCATGCCTAGTCGTCATGGTGGCTAAGTGGGTAAGACGCTGGCTCGCTAGCCTGGAGGTCAAGTGTTCGATCCCTGCATTGGCCGAGAAAGTTCACCCAGATTTCCCGGCGTGGTTCCCCCTTGTCAGTGATGCAGGACGGAGGGCCTGACAAGGACAGCTGTCTAGTCATTCGGATGAAATGAAAAAACGAGGTCCCGTGTACACGTTGGCGTGCACGTAAAAGATCCCTTGACAGTTGGAATTCGATACACCGCAGTGCCGCTGTCCGGGCAAAATTTCCCTCATAGCACACTGTGTGGTGTATGCCTGTCTTCATTAGCCCAGTTCGGAGCAAAACAGTAGGACGTTAAACCCCATTTCATTTCATTTCTAGTCGTTTCAATGGAACACAAAACCTGAGGTCCCATTGGCGTGCATTTAAGCCGATAGTATGGTAGTTGGAATTTGTTGGCTGTAGCACCCGTGTCACAGTTCGACTGCTAGTTTGCGATACCCACTCGATATGAATGAGTGGTGATTGGCTAATGAATTCTAAAATCAGACGAATGCTTCGGCGAAGCGGACACACCACTCAAATACAATTCGGCCAAATATATCAAACATGTTTGATTCGGGCGTATGTCAGTGGATAAACTAGGTGAAGTTTAGCGCCAGTTGATTCAGCCAAATCCTTTGGCTAGTTTATCCAGCACTGACGATTTAAGTTTGTACTTTCTTTATATGCAAATATCACATTTGAAAGAGGCTGTAAGCCTACTTTCTTTATATGCAAATATCTTATTTGAAATAGGCCATTATTATGTGATTCCCCACTTGAATGTGACTAGGAATAGGGTCGCCTGTCCAGCCTTGTGGGTTTTCTCCGGGTCCTCCGGTTTCCTCCCTTTCCTAAATACCCCTAGGGTGTATTCGAAACAGTGTTCCGGTGCAGAGAACGGACGGAGAATGGGTTCTTGTAGGACTTGAGCAGTCTGGAATGCGTTCACGAACACATTCCCGTTCTCAAATCCCACACTACCTCATAGCTGGTGTGAGGGAGAACAAACATGGTCGACGTATCGATAACTGCTGAGAAAACAGCATCATGGGTGCATTTATTAATTTAAAAGTTTAATACCGTTCGAAAATTGGATGTAGTATGTGGCCAGTATAACATCAAGTAAGTTAGGTTGCCAGGCAACGAAACATATGCCCGCAGCAGTTTAATCGTTTGCGCAGTCAACAGGGATTGTCGCATATTCATTCTTTTGTAGGTAATGTGGGCATTTACAAGAAAATTTCATACAAGATTATAATTTTCGTCGTTTGTGGGTTTACAAAGGTCGACGCATCGGTAACTGCTGAGAAAACAGCATCATGGGTGCATTTATTAATTTAGAAGTTTAATACCGTTCGAAAATTGGATGTAGTATGTGGCCAGTATAACATCAAGTAAGTTAGGTTGCCAGGCAACGAAACATATGCCCACAGCAGTTTAATCGTTTGCGCAGTCAACAGGGATTGTCGCATATTCATTCTTTTGTAGGTAATGTGGGCATTTACAAGAAAATTTCATACAAGATTATAATTTTTGTCGTTTGTGGGTTTACAAAGGTTCTACAAACTGAAACAAGGGCCTTAATTGTTGAAATTTGACAGATTTTTTTGTTTTGTGTTTTACTAATTTAAATAATGCATACAATTTTCATATAAATCGGATGATAATTTTGTTGTTCGTGCGTTCACAAGTTTCGAAAAAGTGAAACAAGGGCCACAACTCTAGACATAATTCACAGAAATCGCAGAAATTTAATAGACGTCTTCGTTTCACTAATTTAAAAGATTTAAATGAATTTCACAAAGTGAAACAAGGGCCATAACTCCAGAAGAAACTAACAGAAATTATTGAAATTAAATAGGATTCATCTCATTAAAATAAACAACAAATCAATTTTAAAATAATCAGTTCTGTAGACGACGGACAAACCTACGGACGAGGGCGTATCAAAAGGTGATGTAATCGTCATCCAAAGAATTGAAAAGGAGTAAAACGGTGTCATAATTTATCAAAATAATACTTAATAGCGAAGTAAATACTAAACAAGTTATCGTAACAGATTGTATGAATTTAATTCATCTTGTTACCATGGATACCGTTCTCTCATGTTCGAGACTCATGAAAGTGTTTTCATGTTCTTCAGCCGTTCTCGAACCTGCGCAAACACTGTTTCTAATACACTCCTACGGTACGCGCAAGCAAATCATTCAAATAAAATTGAACAATATTAGCCTCGAAATTACCTAGCGCCAGTAAGTATAAAGGATCTATCCGACAAACACTAACAACAACTCTAGGTTGATTACATGTCATTTGGGACTCACGTCATTTGGGACTCGCGTCATTTGGGACTCAAAAAAATATGACCACGACATTTGGGACTCCGGTATACGTCGTTTGGGACTCGGGTTAACGACGTTTGGGACTCGGGATAATTTATTAGAAATAGGCCAATTCAAACAAAACACGAAAGAAAATATTTATTAACATGAAACACGTGGTTAGTAAAAGGCTCAACCAAACGATAAAACATTAGTTGCACTTACGGTTCTTTGATAATCATCGTTTATCATAAAAGTTTTATATTTATTTAAAACGAATAATATGCTGATGAATTTATTTGAAAATGACCTACACAAAAAACAAAATAAATATTTACACGACATGCAATCTTTTTTTACAAGCCCCTAGAAATTGTTAACGATAATCCGTGAGCTGCACGTTGACATGCTTGTCGTAGATGGCAATACCAATTGATAAATTAGTGCGTACAAGGCAAAGTTTTTTTGTGGAAAATATAAGAAATGGCAACGATCAAAGCGGGATAATTAAAGCTGATTAACTGATAATCCCAATGTTATTACAGTATAGTTCAAAGAAACCTAACGGTTCTTTGGTGGATGAGGAAAAATGTGAGTTGTCAATCATCGAGAACGGCGGCCGTGTGTTGATTGCAGTTATACCGTTTCACGAAAAAACATTAGCAGTGGTCTGTCAACCAAGCTCGTTTACTATTTATAACGCAAATTTTTCGTTTCGGTTAAAACAAAATATACGTCCATTTTAATTGGCCGAAGGATGTGTGACTTATAGAAATATGGCGGGCGGACAAACTGACCAAACAGTATATTTCGAGGTATTTGAGGTAAGCTAATTTAATATTATATCATAACTGCATGTGCATACTTGTGTTTCTGTGTAATTAAATATTCAAAAAATCATTCTTAGGATACAGCCTCCACACCAGTCAGCCCTGAATTGCAATGTTTGTTTTGTGTTCTGGGCGCCATTTTGAAAAAAACTGACATGACCTATATAATACAATCCAGCAATAGTGCAGTCAATTTCCTTTAAAAGGGAATCCGAATTTGTTAATTTTCTGCAATATCACTTCGGTGGTAGCGGACGTTAAATAAAGCTATTTCACGTACAAAGACCTACAATAAAATCCAGGTGAATTGGGAAAAATATTCATGTATTTTCTTATTGAAGAGTAGCTATTTCAATTTGTAAATGCCCAGCCATCTTAGACAAATAATAATTCCAACTTCAAATCAGTTGTATTTATTCAAATCATACTATGAATAATTGTATTTTTCCACTTGCATAATAATAAAAACTTGACTTTTATTATTTTATTTCTTCAGGCCAAGAACATGGAAAATTGGTAATTGCCTTGTATCACTGCTAACTATAAGGCACAGGGAGCCTTGGGCAGAAATGATAATAATATGGTTCTCAGATATGTTACTGTGTACAGACTGAACAAAAAAATATATATACACTTGCTATTACATGTACATTATATCATTGGCAATAATAAGATCCAATTTTAGTTTTTAGTTACACACTGTTAACCACCAATAGATGAAAATAAATCATAAAATGTATTCAGCTCGACGTAAGACTTAAATAAATAGATACAGTTGGTTTAACTTGAATAGAAGTTTTAATTATCTATGCTGCATATATGCATATATCACCTTGCAGCTGAATCACATTACATATCTTTTTAGTTGATGTTCATATCGTCTTACGTATTTGTCAACATCAATGTGACCTTGTTCTATGTCACATTAGCCTATTCACGTTACCACGAATTTACTCACCACACCCTCACATAGTTATGAATTTATTGTTTCACTTGACTAAAGAAACATTTTGTAGGAATGTATGCTTTTATAGATTGGACACTTGTTTGCAATATCATTGTCGGTGGAAACTGGCACTATACCTAATTAATGACTGAACAAATAGCGGAGACGGGGTTTCAGCCGGCTGATTTAAATTATTTCTTTAAATACAGTAAAGCTTGAAATATGTCAGTTTTCCCTCTTTAGAATGTTTTTGTAAATAAGTTTTTATTGTAGTTTCCGTGGCGTATTCCCAATAAGCGTTAGAAACAAAGATATACACCCTTAATCCCGGTGCCGATAAATGTTGGGTTGTGTGGAACATGCTAACAAATCTCAGGTACGATATATGTTTGATTCTGGTTGAGAACAGCATGAGAGCAACATGATTGTTTTCATTGGAGATGAGACGCAAATATTCAAAGGGGTCAGACAAACTCTAAACCAACCGCGTTCCCTTCACTGAGTCCCTTCAAAGGAGGCCCTGTCTGTCTACCTGTGGAATAACATGCATTTGTATCTGTTAAATTTGTGTGGTAGACAGATTGATATTATTTATATAACGTCTTACCCCAAACAAATTGCAAAAGAAACCATGAAGTTTCTGAGAGCGATATTTCGTAATTAGTGTGCTTTAATGGTGGGAGAATAAATAATTAAATTTTTCAAACACAAACTGGTCATATATAAAATAGCATTTTCGGACAAGACCAGCGATAATCTCGTAAGATATGACTTTTACTATGTCTATTAAATGGTTTTCGACGTCTCTTCAAGGTCACCGTCTTGCGCCAAAGTCGTGAAACGCACCGTCGGGGGATTTGTTGGGGCCTGTCTCCCCCAGGAAAATTTCTAGAAATTTCAAGTCGGTCTTGCCTGGCAGTGAATACGGCAACCTGAAAGTGGTCGATTTTAATGTAGACATCTGAACTCCAATCAACAAATCAATCAACCAGGCTGTTGTCGTTGCATTCACATGACACCAGACGTGTCACCGATGAAACAAATATGCCTGAAACAAATGTCGCTGTTAGTGCGACCCATTTGTGACAATTTCAAGGTCCCAAATAATAGTCATTTTTTACTATTAATAGTAATTCAATTAGTAAGTGCTATTTACTTTATAATAGTCGTCTTGGCTTTTACCCGACATTACACAAAACACCAATGGTAACTGTCGGGTGGTCTCTCCAGTCTTAATGAAGGCGTGTATGGAAAACAGCTGAGACCATGGCTTGTTCACCACCCGAAAAGTTGCATCCATATACCAAGTTTTTGCGCGTGCGAGTAGTTGCATCTGTCTTTCAGTACAAAAAATGTGATGGCGCCTTTCCCTAACTTTTACTCTTTTTTGATAAAATCCCGGTGCACTATGATCGATGAAATCTTCGTCAAGCTAAAACAAAAAATAAATAAAAAAGTACATTTAAGTACATGTTAATAAATAAATAAAATTGTACATTTAATTACATGTTAATAAATTCTTATATACATGGGTATTTAATTGCATGAGTACTTACGCTTGACGACACGTCAGTGGGATCTTTTGGTCGCAGAGTCTGTCGGGTTCTTTATAGCGACCTTACAAGTGCTGCAATGGGTGGTCTGCTATGAATGGGTTCTTCTGCAGAACCGACACTGGATAAAACTCTCTCCGCTATTGAGGAACATGCCTTGGTAAAAACATTTCCTTTGGCTTCATGCTTTGCTTGTAATGATAAGATAAAACATATTAAACTACAAATATATTATTGGTTTATTTATATTTTATTTATTTATTTATATATTAAATTCATTTATTATTATAGAGTTAACTAGGTTAACTAGAGTTAATTATGCAGAATTAATATAACACAACATACACAGATGGCAATAGAATGAGACAGTGTTCAGAAAAAGGGCGGAAGAAGACTACCTGTCCTACTTGATTCTAGGACATATATATAGCATGGACCTACTTGATCGACCAATTTAATACAAGGAAATGAATGGCATAGTTTGTGTCAAGTGAATTTAGTGAACTTTAAACCCCATTTACTCGCCCTCTCTCTACAGAGATAAATACTTTTCGTGTTACATACAATAACAATTATTGGCCATTATTAAAAAAATATATTAAAAGGAAATGAAATTCTGTTACCTGGTTTTCTTTGTGTAGTACATGCTAACATCAATGACTGGGAAAAAAAATAACGAAACTGTAGAGAAACTTCTGAATCATTGAAAGTCTAATATTAGGCCTACACATTGATATAAAAAAAAAGGCTGATTTGTTTGTTGTTGTTTTTTTCTTTTACAGAAATAAGATTACATTTCAACTAAACAACTAACACAAAAGTTAGTATCTAGCTATAGTTCATGTCTGGATATACATTTCTCCTTTTGCCCGAACGTCTATAAAAATCAAAGATGGCGGCCAATAATTGCAACCGGGTATTACTATAAAATCAAGACAGATTCTTACCTGCTGGTCCTAGTCGGGGGTTTCTTGCAATTATAAGTATTTGAACAACGGTGTAGCGCCGATTAGCTAATAATAATTAAGCACGATTTCAGAAAAATTAAGACAGATTCATTAGATTGCTGAATTAGCGGAACACTTTTAGAACACATCAAAAAAATGTTCTTTGTGGCGCCATTATATAAATAGACTTCCGGTGCAGTCAGTGGCAGTAGTTCTAAATCTGACTGTTTTAAACGAAACGAATTATTATATACATAGAAGCAATATATACATGCTAAATTAAATACACGGTTTTATTTTTTGTAAAAATTTACAAACCTGCAGTCTGGTATTCTATGTGACCATTATAATTTTTTTTAAAATATCACGGCTAAAGCACCCTGTTGATGCTAACTTCACTACATCTATCTAACTGAATGTCGCTGATATAATATCAAAGAAGGAATTTGTCGCAATGACTAAAGTATAGATACTTCTTCTTAGTTAGTTGTATTTTACGTCCGCTTCCACCGAAGTGATATCGCAGACAAAAAGTATAGATAACTTGGAGAACCATTATATCAATAAGTCGATTATAAGATACACGTGGATGATCAATTAAATTTGATTGGTTACTTTTCAGTTAACCAATACTGTCCAATTTCGATTACATCAACCAATTACATTATTAAGAGTTTTACTCATTTTTTTTGTTCATTGTACATTGAATCAATTTTCGAAAACACCAGGGTGCTGAAAATCACATGTACACTATATATTCATTTGATCTATCAGTTTATTGGGTCAATAAAAAAAGACAGACATTTTAACTTTACAGACAACTTAACATCAATTAACATTCAAGTCTGTCTGGCAATTGTCTGATTAATTGGTACTCACACCCTTCCAGTGAAGAACAGCATGTGATTTTCGAGATGTGAATTAAGCCCTTTATTACTTTTCTTAAAACTTGACGACTCCCGAATTCAGACTTTGTATGGAGTTTTTTTTTTAAAAAGAAAACAAATCTTGGAAGGTACACATTACTTGTGTTAATGATATGAAAAAAACACAAGATTTTATAAATCGACACAAGTTTGTGTTAATGCAATGCAAAACAACACATAACTTGTGTAGATTAGTTTTAACACAAGTACTTGTGTTGAGATCCAACACAAGTGTTTTTTCAGTGTATTTATGGCCCTTGATGTTATGTCAACAACATAGCATTGGTTGGTGTTCATAGATTTGTTATTGTTTGGGTAAGGCAGTTGTTTTTTTATTTTAAAAGCAAAAGTACACAGTGGTTTACTTATTTCGTCTAATTAGTAAAATAATATGTACCTGATCAGATATACATAATAAGTGTGTAGCAATAATACTTTCAGTAAACTGTTAGTGGAAAAACGTCAATCAGTCAGGAGGTCATTTGTAGTTCAAATATTGCTAGCCGGACGTGTACAGTGTGGTTGACAAGGTGTGAACTGGATGTGGGCGTGACTTGCCTCTGTTTTTGTACACCGTACAATCGCCATGATTGTTCTACAACTTGTAAACAAGTATGACGATTATTTAGGATTTTAATTTTTTTATTTGATTATTTCTGTAGTTTTGTAATCGGAGTTTAGCTTTAAACCTTGAATTCAATCATCGGATACATCACAAATATTGGTGATGAACCAAGCTTTGTCCGATTAGTGATGAACGAATCTTTATCTACTGAATGATAAACTTATCTCTACTCGATTAGTGACGAACCAATCTTTACTCGATTAGTAATGGACCAATCTCTACTCGATTGGTGACGAACCAATCTTTACTCGATTAGTGACGAACCAATCTTTACTCGATTAGTGATGAACCAATCTTTACCCGATTAGAGATGGACCAATCTGTATCTAATTAGTGATGAACTAATCTCTACTCGATTGGTGACAAGCGAATCTTTACCCGATTAGTGATGGACCAATCTGTATCCATTAAATCCGGGTTGTGCTGAATTAACAAGAAACGAGGGTTGATAGGCTTACTATTTCTTTTTACATAAAGATTAATATCTCGACAACGGAAATACTCGGTTATACATGCATCTCAGTATAATTATGCTTTATTTACGAGGGCCATATTAGAAATAATGAGTCAAAACATGTGAACTTTACTCATCTTGATACTTTCATTTTCAACTTAAATCAAAGAATCGTGTCCATTTAACTTTCAACGTGGATTAGCTAGTCAAATATTGTACAATATTCAACTTACGCTTGCAAGATGGTGTATCCATATTAAAGTTCCGATCTCGTTGACATATCAGATTTGGAGAACCATGCAATGCATATCCGGATTCACAGGTAAACTGGCAACTGCCACCCAATAAAACTCTATAATTGGTTACGTCACATGAAACATGACCATGCTGAGGTCGGATTGGTACATTGCAAGAAAAAACTGAAAGGGTAACCCAAATATATATATGGTGTAGGGTAACATATGGAATATTTTTATATCACTGATTCGATTGTGCGTTGGTGTCTTTAGGCCCTAAAAATCAAAGTAAGCTCCAGTGAAGTGAAAAAATGAAGAATCGGACAACCATCTCAGTGAATATTATATGTAATTTACCATTGCACATTTCAGAAATTTAAAAAATATAAAAACAATCCTTTAGGAACTCTATCTAGCCTGTTGCTCATTAGGCTACAACAATATACAACATATAGCTCGAAGTGACTGAAGTCATTAGATGCTCAGATTTTGGAGTGACGCATGGAAATGACAAAACATTCTTACTCACCTATAACCTCGAATTGACGTAGACACGATTTGGAGGCACCTGTTGCATCGCGTACTCTATACTGAATGGTATACGTGCCAGCTTTTAAAATACTCCCTGATTCGGGGCCATTTGTCTGGATCAAACTGTCAAACCAGAAAAAGAAATTAGTCTGTTAGTTGATTTAACCAATAATTAAGTTAACAGGTTTAACTATAGAGGCCGTAGACCGAGGTGTTAACCTGTTAACGAATGAAGCGTGCTATAACTGACTTGTTACATTGACACCTGCTCAACATGCTGGTTGTTATTGCACAGAAAACCCACCCGCTTCTCTATATGATTTCTACTAAAATAAGCGTCAACCAGCAAAAGTGTGCAATAACATTGAAAATGTCTAGTCATTGCACAGTTAAGCTCCAGCCAGTCTACAAGAGGGGACACAATCAGCTTATTCAACGAAAAGAACAAAGGAAGATTTCCCGTCCGTGTTAAAATGTCTGTTGACAGTGGATTAGATAGTCAAATAAGTTTCGGGTTTGTGTTATTATTAGAACGTAAGGGTCATTTTTAGACATTTGCGACATAATACGGCCCAACTTTTAACAATTGCAATCCTAATCTCACGAATGTAGTTCATTTAAAATTACTACTCTCCGTTGTTCGGAAACGCGGAATTCTTTCTCATCTTCAGAGAGAGCCAGCTCAGTTATTTCGTAGACTTAGTCATAATGTAAAACATGGGGGGGGGGGGGGGTAGCGCGTGCGCGCTGCATCATAAGGTCTGTCACTGAGTCAAGCGGTGTGGGTTCGATTCCCTGGTTGTACGTGACAAGGAGTAGGGTCGCCTGTCCTACCTCGTGGGTTTTCTCCGGGTCCCCCGGTTTCCTTCAACTCCTAAAGACCCCTACGTTCAGGCGAATGATTGAAATAAAATTGAACAATAAGTTAGTCCCGAAATGACCTAGTTTGTGTCGAGTGGACGTTAAACCCCATTTCTCTCTCTGAACGCACAGCTAAACTGAAACAAAATGGAGTTTAATGTCCTAGTGCTCTGTTATGCCATACTGTGTGCTATGAG